CATTCATTCTGTCAGTCAGTCATTTATTTTCAGTTTCATGTGTTTTCGTTATTATTTTTTATTTTATTGAAAATATTCACAGTACAAACCCTCCGTTCGCATGACATGGTTAGTCTTGCTCTGCTTTGTTCACAGTAATCTGTTCTCTTACATACTGCTTAGTATTGTGGTTAAGACCTGAGATTCTGGCTTCAGGCCCTGAATAAATGATTTCCTGGCTGCAGCCTTGCTGATCATGCAAGTTTGGCCAATTTACCTAATACCTCCCAGCCCCAGATTCCCCATATGCAAAGTAGGGATGGAGGTGGTTGCTACCGCATCAGGCGGTTGTGAGAAATAAGTGAGAAAATCCATGTGAAGTATAAGTCATGGTGCCCAGCACAGGGTAATATTTACTTGTACAATTTTTCTCTTGGGCCCAGGATGGGGATGCTTGTTTACACTCTTATTTCATTATCTTGGTTTCCTTAAATCCTTGTTAGAAGAAGGCAAGTCATAGATAATAAATAATTACGGGGTTTTTTTATGCTTTATTTCCAAAGAAAGAATCTGTCTTTGTTGATTTATAATATAAAATGATTTATAATGGCTTACACATGGAATTCAGATGGGCACTAAATTTCTCTCGGAAGTTTCCTCTGGGAGAACATGGCAGTATATGGCAAAGTCAAATGAGGATTTTTTTTTTCCTTGCTGGTAATATCAGCTCACATTTCTCAGTGTTTCTGGAGTTGTTTCTATTTACTTATTCCTTAGTGATGAAGGACACAGTATTCTCATTTGGAAATATATAATGTCACTGTAGATTTTTCCATCACTGTATGTTTAATATAACAAAGATAGAAAATGTGCACGGGGACAAGGCTAGAAGCATGATCTAAAATCTGGGGGTGCCATGAAGTTAATTAGGTGACTCTCACATCTGGTGGGGAGGCGCCCTTGATTGAAATGTCTCTTTGGAGAATTTCATGTATTTCTCACCATAAAGTAAAGGACATTATGGGGAAGAGAGGGAAACTTAGGAATGCAAATGAATCTCCCCACTTATTGTGATTGTGTTGTATTTTTTTCCTAAAAGATTATATTTCTTCAGTCTTTTATTTAACCACTGAGGAAGTACCAGGTCATCGGCTAGCAGCTGGGATGTAAAGGTTAATGATGATCACCCCATACTCTCCTTTTTGACAGTGTATTAGCAAGGAACACACACACCTGTTATGATTAGGAAAAAAATGTAAACGATGTAATTGAGGTATTCACATCTTACCACGTCAAAAAGGACACTTTTTAAGCTCACAGAAACCAACTGTGTTTTCTAATCGGAGAAGCCACCCTTTTCCTTAAAGTAGAGTCTCAAAAATGCCTTTGTGCGTGGCCACAAAAGTTTGTGAGAGAATTGTAGATGTATCAGAGTGCAATGTCAGTGATTTGTTCAGTTTTTCTCCCCTGGCCTTCAAGACATACATTTTGGTATTGTCCAAACTTGGGGTGGGGATGAGGTGGCGGGATATTTATTTGTAATTCAAAGATTCTGAGATCTTTTTCTATAGGTCATCTTCTTACCTCTGAAACCATTTGCTGGTTAAATAGGTCCTATATCACCAAAGCTAAAGAGAATTTGATTTGAGATTTAAGTTTGTGTAATAACTTGTCGCTAAGTGAATAAAATTTTTTTTAATTGGCCACAAAGATTTTTCTTTTCCCTTTTAATAGAAGTCTGGTTTTTTTTTTTTTTAAAGATTTTATTTATTTACTTGACAGACAGAGATCACAAATAGGCAGAGAAGCAGGCAGAGAGAGAGGAGGAAGCAGGCTCCCCACTGAGCAGAGAGCCTGATGCGGGGCTCGATCCCATGACCCTGGAATCATGACCCAAGCCGAAAGCAGAGGCTTTAACCCACTGAGCCACCCAGGTGCCCCTGTGTTTTGTTTTTTTTTTTTTTAAGATTTTATTTATTTATTTGACACAGAGAGAGAGAAAGATCACAAGGAGGCAGAGAGGCAGGCAGAGAGAAAGGGGGAAGCAAGCTCCCTGCTGAGCAGAGAGCCCGATGCGGGGCTCGATCCCAGGACTCCAAGACCAAGACCTGAGCCGAAGGCAGAGGCTTAACCCACTGAGCCACCCAGGTGCCCCGATAGAAGTCTGTTTTTTGTTTTTTGTTTTTTTTTTAATTGCACATGAGTTATTTTTCCTTCGTCAGTCTATTTTTATCTCCCCCTTAAGGCATGCTTAAGCGAGGGGATATGTCATTGGCTTAGTACATATTGATATTCTTTCTGAAACAGGATATGATATAGTATAATACTTGCATAATCAGGTTTCTGTCTAGACTGGTGAAATTAAAATAGTGACAGAGCAAAAGGAATCTCTTTCTGAAATAGAATACTTTAGGAAACATGGCTTTACCAGAATATTGATGAAGCTTGCAAATATGGAGTGGTATTTTATATCAGTATTAAAGCTAAGGTTTTCATATCTAGAATGCCTTGTTGACTTTTGTATATTCATCTTATTGGTATTCATTATTTTCGACTGCCCTATCAGAAGATAAAGGGCAATTTGTTGTAAACATTCCAGTAGGGATAAAGAGGAGCCTCAAACATAAGTGCATCTCAATAATATATAAAAATATAAAGTAGCAGATGCTGTCTGTGGTACAGAAGAGGGGAAAATGGTCACATTGCCTGTGTTTGGGGCTAAAGTATAATCCATAAACATTCTTTGATGACTAAGAAGCAAAACCGAATTCCAGTCTTAAATCTCAGGAGAGTTGATTAACTAAAGCCAAATTCTTAAATCATTTTGGAGCTCTGCATTTGTTTAATAAAATAATTCTATTTTCCTATTTATTTTTCTAGGTATGTTTCCTTGAGCAAATTACCAAGGAACTATTTTAAGCCAGGGACTGCTTTGAAACCTGCTAAAACATATTTCTGCTGCTTTCATTCCCATGAGCCCAAGAAGGGTGTGGGGAGGGTGACCCTGTACTCTTAGGACCAGGCTTGACCAAATCAGTGGGTGTCCCAAATAGATGGACAGCTTCTCTCTTATCTCAATATTCTGGAAATATTTGCTCTTTATTTCTATAAAGCAGAGAAAAGACTAACCTTATAGCATTCATATGAAGTACAAAGGTTTTGAATTAGCACATGGGATAGAATCAGTTCTCAGGCGTGCACCAGATCTGTGATCTTGGACAATATAATTTACTATTTCTCAGTTTCCCCGTCCATAAAATGAGTATAATAGTATTTCTGTCTTTATAAGGGCATAATGAGGATTAAATGAATCAATTCCTGTTCAGTCCTTAGCAGAGTGGCCATCAAATGGTGAATTCGTAACAAAAATAGTATTACCTTGTATGATTATTTAAGTATCCTTCATTTATCTGAAGATGAATTTTTACGCATTTACTTCGAGCGTATCTTAAATTTGAAATAGTGGTGAATTTTCTTCTGCTGTGAAGAAAGCTTACAGTCCTCCTTGAAGTATAGGAAATGACGGTTGGGTAATAAAAATTTAACTCTGCATCCTCTTGGATCCTTCATTCCCAGAGTGAATTCTGCATTCAGAATTGTCTCACGTGGAACATTAGCTTCTCTTGAGAATTCTTGCAACAATTTGTATTCTCATCATTCAGACCCCATCAGCCACTGCTCTCTGAAAAAATACCCCAAAACCCCACAGATAATAGGTATGGGATGACCCCCCCAGAAATGTACATTGGTTGCCCTTTCTCATATGAGAGGGCAGGAATAGGTTATCATGTAAGAATAAAGAAAAACATGGTAAGCCAGGTAGTTGAATCTGTTACGTGTATCTATCTAGATTTAAATCACAAAAGAGAATAAAAATGTTCCAAAACAGTCATAAATTCATATCCATATGCTTCCTTAGAGATGGGGTTATGGCTCTTGTTTCTTCTCCTGCACGAGATAAGGGAGATTTGCGTTGACAGAGCCAGTATTTAAGGCAAGGGTGGAGTGGTGAATCAGCATGGTGAGCTGGCAGTTCCAAGCCTCACTAACGCCTCGCACTCTCTTTCCCTGCTTGGTCCTCAGCCTGAAGCAAATCTAACCTTGGCCACACTGTGTGCTAATACCCTGGTGCTGCATTCTCTAGATGTTGGCTGTGTTCCCTCCCTGAGGTGGGCAGTCATTTGATTCTGTCATAGGCACGAGGATATTGAAATTCAGAAGCTCATGGTTGCTGGTACATTCATTTTTCTCTGGTTGATATTCTTTCTATTTTACTTACTTATATTTCTGTTTATTTGAATATAAATGGGTATTTTTGAATATAAATGGGTAACATTACCTTGGATCCAAATGACATCCACAAATATATTGATTTGAATTAGTAGCTGATCAATAGCATTTGTGTTTGTATTTAATATGGTGACCCTGTATTTTCTTATGCAAGTTCTTTGGGGAATTTAAGGTCTCCTTTTTCTTCATGGACCAGCGCAAATTCAAGTTTCATTTCTTGGACCTTCTCTTGGTGTTTTAGATGACATATTTATAAGAGCATAAAATATTAAGCCTTCTGCTAGATAGTTACCACTCAGGATGGTAAGTGTGTATCATGATGTATGATATTCATTAAATACATGACACACAACATGAAAAACAATACTCTTAGGTACGAACACACAAAACATGGTAGGTCAGTTTTTTTTCCTTTCTTGCATTTACTTAGTTCTGCTTTTTGGAATAATAAGAATGCGGTATCACTGATATAGAAACCTATTCTTTTAAAGGTTAATCTTTTTATTTGCATAGATATTTATGTTTTCTGCTTTTGCTGATTTGCTAGTATTGTCAGAAGTGAATAAATGTTTATTGTCTTGGGTGTGCTTCTAATTTACAACAGCAGTTTTGACATCAAATGAAGGATCTAATGTGTTTTGAGTTTACCTCTTAAGATGAGTAAATAGAAGAGTGATAAGTCCTTAGATATTAAATAATTTTCAGAATATTGAACTTTTTTTCTCTTGTAGTGAGAGATTTTTCCTGAGGCTGAATAGAAATGGACTTCCCAAAGCCCCAGATAAACCAGAACGACATTGCTCTCTCTTCGTGGTAGGTGGATCTTGTTTCGTCTCGGAGGCGGATTTTTCCAGCTGTACTTCATGTTACTTGAGGAAATAAATTATTGTGAGAGAATATAGTGACTTCCCTTAATCTTTGTAAATAACACTCACAGTACACTAGGGCGGGACTGCGGGCCTGGGTATTATGGAGGACATGTGCTGTGATAAGCACTGGGTGTTATATGCAACTAATGAGTCATGGAACCCTACCTCAGAAACTAATGCTATACTATATGTTGGCTAATTGAACATGATAATGTAAAGCATAAAATAAAGTATAAGTGCTTGACAAAAAAACAAAACAAAACAAAAACACTAAAGTACAGTTAGTGCCCAGAATCTTGAATACCACCATTCATAGACACATCTCTGTTCCTTGGGTTTATGTTGGAGCCTGTTACACTCTGCATGACATATAGCATTTAGGGTGTACTTAATAAATGGTTAAAGAATGATTGAGAAATTTAAAAAAGAATTTTTCTTTAATGTATTATTTGACATCAGTAGACTTACCCTGTAAACTTGTAGTGGTATTTTTATTTTATTAAGTTTTTATTTAAATTCCAGTTAGTTAACACAGTGTAATATTAGTTTCAGGTGGACAGCATAGTGATCCAGCACTTCCATACATCACCCAGTGCTCATCACCACAAATGTACTCCTTAATCCGCATCACCTATTTAACCCATTCCCCTCAGCTCCCCTCTGATAACCATCAGTTTGTTCTCTGTAGTTAAGAGTCTGTTTCTTGGTGTCTTTCTCTCTTTTTCCCTTTGTTCATTTGTTTTTGTCTCTTAAATTCCACATATGAGTAAAATGTGGTATTTGTCTTTCTCTGACTTATTTTGCTTAGCATAATACTGTCTAGCCCTATCCCTGTCTTTGCAAATGGCAAGATTTCATTCTTTTTTATGGCTGGCTAATACTCCATTAATACTCCATTTCGTGTGTGTGTGTGTGCGTGTGTGTCTCACATCTTCTTTATCCATTTATCTGTCAGTGGATACGTGGGCTGTTTCCATAATTTGGCTATCATAGAATGGGCCTTTTTTTTACTTTTAAGCATCATTTGACATCCGTAGACTAAGAGTGTTAATTTGATCATGGTGGTATTTTTAGAACAGGATTTGAATTATATGCTTCTGCTACAAAATTCCATTAAGAATGTCTGCATTATCTTTGTCTTTCTTCTGTTAATTGTAGAAATAATGTGCTGTGACCTTTAGTAATTCTATATAACTTATGAGTTTTAAAATAATCCCACTTTTTTTTTTTTTTTTATAGGATTTAGGTAGCAGTGAGCTAAGAAGGGACGTCTATATCACTGTGCACATTATCCGAATTGGTAAGTCTAACACTTGCCAGTGTGATAGGTGTGATAGGTCTGATAGAACAGGGGGAAGAAATGCTGAAAAGTCTCTGTGTTGGTGTGATCTCTTTGCTCTCTGGATCAGAAAACAGTGAAAGCCAGTTTGGAATCTGAGAATCACCACATTTGGGATTGTTCCCATTGCTCCCAAACTCACGGACGGCTTTCTCATGCATCATACATAGACTTTGTTTTCTTCCCATAGAAATCGTTAGGTAGTTTGTTGTGCTTTGTTTCTATTGGACTCCATAAACATATTTGACTCAAAATTTCTTATTTGTCTTTTTAAGTTCTAATTTCTGTTAACAGCATCAATTAAACTTCTTTAGGATCTGGATTTCCTACAAGTTTATGAAAATTTTATATACTAATTGGCATTCTCCAAAGTGCAGAATGCTACAGAGCATTATTGCAAAAAGTGCTATACAAGTAAAGGGTTATGAAACCCTGAATGCTATAGATTTTTTCCACTTTTATAATATCATCAGCTCATTAAAGGGTCTCGGAAGTCCTCCAGGGAAATATTAAAATGCCTCTCTGACTTTGTTGGCCCTAGTTTTCTCCAAATTCAATTTGACCATGGAAACATCTGCATAATGTAACATTTATTATGTAATAAATGTAACATTTATTAAGATCTTGCAGAGCACACTTTGGGTATTCCACACTGAACTTGCACAACAGAGCCAGAATAAGTTCACTTGTTTTTACTGATAAAATGCCCCTAAACACAGGTAGTTTATGGCAGAGGTGCTAGGTATGATGAAGTATGCCATATCCTACACCGTTTTTCTCTTAAATTTAACCAGCTGATACTGGGAACTGGTTCCCACTTCTTCACTGCCTGTGCTCCATTATTTGCTTGGGAATACTTCTACCCCATAGTCATGTCTTGCCATGCAATCCTGCATAGTGACCTTTATTTCTATAGTCTTTTCTCTTTTGCATCTGGTAACCGTGTTGTGCACTGAGAGAGACTATAAAAACACGTTGCCATCCTAACATAGATTTTCCATATATTTTTTCTCATAAAAGTCAGTTCTGAAAACCCATTTTCATTCTATGCTCTTTTTTGATTTGAGGGGCTGTTGAAATAAAAAAGAAAAAGAAGTAAACTTTTTCATTTTAATTTTCTTGTTATAAGTGAGTATATATGGGGAAAAAATTGGAAAGAATCTTTAAAAATATTGAGAAAGTTGGAATGCGTGCTGCTATTTGTGAGAGAAAGCTTTTAGGTTCCCAGATGGACAGGGGGGGCAGTTTGTTAGATAATTCTTTGTGAGTGTGTTCTTTTCATTCAAATTCATAATGCCGCTTGTTCATGTAAAATGTGGTTTTGGATGCCTTCATGTGAACATTCATTGAATATAATCTTCTATAGTATCAAGAGAAAAACTCCTTTTGCTTTCAGAACTTTCTAGAAGATATCTGCAGGTTTTGGGTGGTAGAAACACATGCGGCAGGGGGGCTCCAGGCCCTGCTTGCCCAGGGCATGGAGGCCCCTACTGCCTCGGGAGCCATGTACATGTTACCAGTCACACACGGCTGCCTTTCTAATAGGCGGCATTAGATTAGTGATTGCATTTTTTTCCCTAAGATTTTTATGATCATGAAGCCATCAGAATGAACGTTGAATGAACCTGTTACCCATTTTCCCCCCTGAGCTTTGGTCTCAGCTTGACACTGAGATTACTGCAAGAGCTGCCTGATGATCGGGTCCCTTTTACTGTTTTGACACTTTGAGACTGGGAAGAAATTAGATTAAAGGTAAGAAACTCTGAGAAAGGGCAAGGCTTCGTCTGCTGCAATGAAATTAAGGAGCGGAGGATTCTTGTCTATCAGGGACAGATACCTCTTACTTCTTCTAGAATGTCCCTTGTATCTGCTTTAGTAAGAAAAGGGCATGCTGACCCTCACTGGCTGCAGAGAACGGGAGCAATGGCACCTTGCCTCAGAAACTGAGCCCGGATCTTTGATTGTTCAGAAGAGGATGGGGAAAAAAAAGAGATAAATAGTTCCATATCCTCCTGGCCACCCTGCTAAAGGTTTTACCACCTCTCTGTTTCTCCTTTCGGCTTTTAGTTGGTAGCTAAAACTGTTTACTAAATATTACTAAATATTTTTTAACCTTCCCTATGCCTACCTTCCTTTCTGCTTTGAGAATTTTCCTGGAAATCTGACCAGAACTGTGAACTTTTATTAATTCTAGAGTTGGGAACGCCAGGCCTGGCATTAAGTAGTCTTTGCAGCACAGGACCCAACCATGGTTTTGGTGTCCAAAGAGTGGTGCCTGCCAACATAGGAAAGAAAACTTGAAATTGAGGGTCTGAGGACATGAGGGGTGTGAGGGCCTAGGAGTGATGGTGCCCAGTGATCAGAGAGGGACTGGAATGTCCCTGCTGTCTTCTCAAGTTGCAGGGGATGGCTGCCTGCACCCCTGTATGGGGCTGTCCTCTCCCAGACACCTACAGTTTTTTCTTTCCTACAGTTCTAGCCAAAGGGGGTAAAAAAAAAAATGAGGGTGCTAGGCCTGCCCTGCCTAAACTTCCAGGAATTTAGAGCTAGAGGAATCGTTGGAAGTAATCATGATGAGAATTTCAGGGTTTTTGTTTTTATTTTTTACAACTAAATTTCTTGTGTGATGTTAAGTGATTTTTGAAATACTCCACTTGGGAATCTTCAAGTCATTCTGTTGTCTTGCATTTACCAGGGAATGATTAAGCAAGAAACATAAATTGTGATGTTGGTAAAGATAGGAGGCTACATTTCATCCTAATGCAATCTGTAATAATAATTAAAATAGAGATACCGCAGACTTTTTCCCCCATTTCACGAGTGATCAGAGTTTTAAATTTGTGACTTTTGTGAGTAAAGTGTAATTGGTTGTTAAATTCAAGTATGACATGACAGTGTTTGATTTGCCAGTGTAATTTATGTTAAAACATGGATTGAAATTTAGCCACATATTAAAGCATCAGGTCATGAAAATGTGATTCTTTAAAATTTGCACATCAAAAAAGCAACTGGCCTGTTTTCTAGTTTTGAGTCTAATTGATAAAATGAGATGTTTTCGTGCTCTTTGTAAGCATTTCCCTAAAAATGATGCATTGGTGTGGTAATTTTACTGTATTACTGATAAATGAAAGCCAGTTAGATATTGCCATCCCCCCCCCATGCTTTTTTTTGGTACCCATTTACCATCGGCTTTGGGAAGTGCTGGAGTCCTCTAGATGTGCTACAGGAGAATTTTGCTCAGATGGAAAACAACTTCTATATCCGTTCATTGCCAAGCATCTGGAAACAGATTTGCATATTTTTTTCATTATTTTTCCTCACATTAACTTATTATATTTCAGCTTCAGAATCCTATCTGCTTTCTGTCTTCAAAATTATCCATTGGCAAATATAATAATAATTTAAAACAGTATCTCAATAACACACTTAAAAATATATAACAATTGAAACAAGATGAAACTGTGTCAGAGTGAAAAGCATCCCAGGAGAGTTTAGCCATTGGCTGTATTGTAATCAGCCTGAGCCCTGGGTCAGGAAAGGGACCTGCACACTCATTTGATCGTCTTTGCTTACTTGTTTTAGCTTCAGGGAATCTCACACTGCTTCCTTTCAAAGGTGAAATATTTGAAATAGTTCTTTAAGTATGGAAATTTTTTCAAAAAATGAAATGGCACCATTATTGCATTTATTGACCCAGACCTCCTGGGTTGTCTTCATGAATCCTTGGGGAAGGGTTCCCAAACAGAGGATCAGCTCCAATCTCCATGTTTCGTTGGTGATAGCTGGTGCACAGAGTTTCATCGATGAGCCCGAGGTCACACAGCAAGGTGCCTGGAAAGGAGAGTCAAGAACTGAAGCCACATCTCCTGCGCCCTTTCATTGCCCAGTTCCATTGGTTTGGGTCTCTGTATCCGCTGAAGGTGCACTGGTCGAGTGGCTGCATGGGTCATGTTTGCTTCTCCATTGAACAGGTCGAATGGGAGCAGGAGAGAAAAAGAATGCCTGTAGCGCCCAGTACCGGCGACCTTTTGGCTGTGCAGTTCTTAGCATTGCCGACCTTCTGACCGGAGAGACAAAAGATGACCTCATCCTGAAGGTGTACATGTAAGAAGCACGCCCATGGAGGCACTGGGGCGGGAGCGGGGGCACGTGTGGGTGCCATGTGGCAAAGGTCACTCCAAGGGGATCATGGGAGAACAGGGGGCAGGGTTGAGTTCGTGAGCCACCCCTCCCAAACTCAGTGTGGAGACTTGCCATGGGCGAGCCCTCTCAGCAGTCAGAGGAACTGTGAAATCAAGAACCCAAGAATACAAACACATAAGTGTGGGGTGGACCATCCATGTCACAGAGTACCTCCTCTGAACTTAAAAACCAAACCTGTCCTTACCCTCAGTTCATTTGTTCTTGGAAAATGGACATAGTTTTTAATACAAACTAATTAGAATTCAGAACAGAAGGTGCAAGTAGGTGATTTCCCTTTTCTTTCATGTATTATGAGTTTACTAGCTCTGCCCAACAAAGTGTTAGGAAGAAGAGAGAGGCTTAAGCCACAGGAGGTGATTATCTCAGTTCTGGAGGTGGCAAGTCCTCGGTCAGGGTGGTGGCTTGGTTAATAGCTTCTGAGAGCTGGGACGGACAGTCTGTTCTGTGCCTTTCTCTCCTAGTTTCTGGTGGTTGCTGGTTGTTTTCAGTGTTCTGTGACACTGGCCAGCTTTGCCTTCATCTCTGTGTCCATATTTCCACCTGTTATGAGGGCATGGTTATATTAGGTTGGAGCCCCACCCCAGTGACCTGATTTTAACTTGATTACCTCTGTAGAGGCCCTGTGTCCAAATAAGGTCACATTCTGAGGTACTAGAGCTTAGGACTTCAATTTTTTTTTTTTTTTGTGGGGAGACACAGTTCAACTTCTGGCACTCCACTAAGAAAATCACTTTATGTACTCCAAATCAGTTGGTTGATTTTTTTTAAATGCACGTGGTTTCAGACCACCCTGCCCTGAGCATCTCCCCACAGGTTTGAAAATTGAGAGTTGACATACTGTAATTCCCTCACTCTGGGTTGAGGGAATGGGTAGGGGAGTGGGCTCATTCCTTGTTTGGGGACCATACTGCTGGCCACCTCCATGAGCGAGCTTACTTGAGTTTCATTTCTGTCTATGGAGTTGATAAACCCAACATTTGCCAATAGTTTTCCTATGTTGGGTTCATATGAGTGGCCCACTGCCTGTAGGACATAGACTTCAAATTGCTTTTTGACCACTGCTGGAGGGTTTCATGGATTTATCCATTCTCCACCCAGTGACCCTGGGACTTATGTCACACATTTGCTAATTAGTTGACAAAGATTTGTCCATAGCCTGTGGTTTAGGACCAGTAGTTCTGTCTGTTCTCTTTTAAGAGGGATAAAATCTGTGACCTTGATTTTAACTTGCAAACTTTGGGTGAAACTAGCAGGTAGTAAAACTCACTACTCTTTTTATCATGTGGTGGCCCTCAATTTCCATGATAATCCTCTTTCCAAACTCTCCTGGTGATCATTAAATGCAGTGTTTTTTAAATAATTCTGGGGAGAATGGCCACCATTTACAGTGTGCTTACTACGTGCGAGGAACTGTGTTAAGCATTTTCCATGTATCATGTGACTTTATCCTCATGACATACCCATGAAACAGGTGCTGTTGGCTCTGATTTCTACGTAAAGGGACAGAGAGGCTAGATGATGCCCCAAGTCACCGGATTCATAAGAACAGGAACCAGATTTGAAGTCAGGACTGACTCCAGAATTTGAGATGTCAAAGATCCTAAGCTTTTGGGTGTTATTTTGACACCAGCATCCAGTAATGTGATAATGATGCTATTGTGCGGCCTTGCTTTTTAAGAAAACTAGAATTCCTTGTAAACAGTCTCATCGTTCCTTAGAGTAGTCTTTGCAGGTGTGGGTAGCAAGCACTCTATCTTGCCTTTGGGAAAACAGGACCAACGGTCACGCCATCCCCCTTGATTATGCAGCCTGCTGAAGAAGACCCATGAAGTCCAGCTCTGCCTATGGGAGATGCTCCTTCGCATAACAATAAATTGTGTTGCTCTTTATGGTTGTTATGTCTGTTTTTTTATAAGCATCAAATAAGGTTTTAGATGATTCTTGCTGGAGAAGAGATCCCCTTAAAAATGGCAGTTCAGCAAATTATGAGTCCGTTTCAGGAAGCATGCCAGCCGATCAAAACAGTCACTGTGGGTTAAGACTAAAGTGTGATTTTAGTAGAACATTTTAAGGAAGTGCCTGTTAGAAACAATTTGGAAGAAATTTCTGTTTGTTAGTGTGATCGAATCCCTAACCCATCTGGGTCTCAAATACGGAGCAGTAACAAATACCTCATGTGAGGCCGGAAGCTATTTCAGTCACGTACTTGAGCTTGATTTTACATGGAGTTCTGTAGGTTAAAAGAATGAATTCTGGAGTCGCTTCACTAATAGGAAGCAGGCCATCTCTTCCCCACTGAGCTGAAATAAGAAAACTAGAGACAGAATATACTAAATGGCAATTTGTTGTCCTGCAGCTGAACAGGTGGGATGGTTTCATTTCCTCTTAATTTCCTTGCCTTCTAAAATTCAGTGTGCCGTCTGGTGCCCTATTGTTACGTGGCCCAAAATTGACCTTCATCTTGTTCATCCCGGAAAAGCATATGATGATGAAATAAATATGTAGTCAAATTGTGAACTGTCTGCTACAGACGAGATCACAAGGAAAAGGAATCTACTGTGGAGCGTTTTGATCGATAGTGTGTAGAATCTTCATATTCAGGACCCTTGGGAGGGAGAATATGTGGTTGATAAAAGTTAGTTGTAATTTACAAACATACTCAAATGAGGGAGGCATTCCCCCCACCCCCAACCGGGACAGTCACGGCAGTAAGGAAGGATGACCAGCCTCAATATTTAGGAGCCATCAGGAGTTGCCAGACAAGGAGACATCCATCCATTCATTAATCCATTGTGTGCTTTTTAAGCAACCACAATGTTCAAAGTCCCAAGGGGGACACATATCAACAGGTCCTAGATCCATTCCTCAAGGACCTTAAAAGTTTCCTAGGTGAACTACAGCATGTTTAACAAAGATGGCATGAGCTAGCAAGTGACAAGAGCTGAAGGAACAAGGTACAGATGGCTGTGAGAGTAAGAAGATAGAAAGATGCCCTTTTGCCCAGCACAGGAAAAGCTGGGGAACTTTGATTACTCTTTAGCGCAAGGGACAATTTGAATGACCCCCTTGCAAGTTGTGTTAACCTCAGTTATATTTTGCTTGTTTTGCTGTGTCCTGATGCTAACCAAACTCGATCATGTTACTGTAGGTAGAAACCCAAATGAGAACTTACATTTGTGGAGCATGGAGTATATGCCTGGCATTATCCTAGGCCCAAGCTTATTTAATTGTAGTATATTACCCCCCTTTTCACAGGTGAAGAAACCAAGGCACAGGGAGCATAAATAACTTGTCCAAAGGATGTAACTCAGTTAATAGGGTTCAAATCCAGGGAGTAGGACTTTTGGTCCGCACTGCCTTTCACTGTGTGCATTGTCCTCTGAGATTTTGAGGTGAGGGGGACCTCATAAATTGTGAGCTCATCACAACCCCTTCTGGCACGAGGTAGGTGGTCATGCATTTACCAGACATGGGCATCCTGCTCATCACGGGGCAGTTATGCCAAAACCGACCAGTTTGTGGGCGTTCCCAAGGAGATTTAAGGAGGTACCGTATGGTGGTTATTCCAGAAAGAGCAGGTGTGCTAGTAAGGTCATTGTTTGATCTGATCCATTATCAAAGCTTAACAGAGTGTTCATGTTTTCTAGGTGTAACACAGAGAGTGAGTGGTACCAAATCCATGAGAACATCATCAAGAAACTGAATGCACGTTACAATTTGACGGGCTCCAACGCAGGTGAGTGTGTCCCTCCACTTTTCATTTCAGGCCTTTTGTTTTATGTATCTGTGTAAGCAGGAGATGAACTGCCCTTTTGTTTTTCTCTGCATTTGCTTCATAACTTTAAAAAATGTGCAGCAAACAATCTAGTACGTCTCCCTGTCCTTTGATAGGCTTGTAGCTGTAACTCTGTTTAAAAAATGTCTTCTGTTCCGGTTTTGAAACAAGGCAGAGTAACTGAATTTGTTCAATATGCCAAATCATGGGGCCTCTAAGTTGTTACCAGTCGCTAAAACCCAAATGACAAATATGCCTGGGTTCCTGAGTGTTGTGTGGAGTAGGTCTGATGGATGGAAATTGGCCAGTGAGGTCTAAGAAAAACCTGCTTCACTGTCTACAGCTGGGAGCAGTGCTGGGAACAAACACGCAGGTTCCTATGTTGAAATTGGCTAGGAAGATGAACCATGTTAACTGCAGTGTCACCTACAGAAAAATGGAGGCACACTTGTTAAGGGAACTGAAATATATAGCATTATAAGTTATATATGATACGTGCTACATATTCTTAACCTAGTAACTTCATAAATACTGCATTATATAACATATGTAGTGGCGTCTTTGAGTTTGGTCAGTGGACCAAACTGGGTGACCCTTCTTTGCTCCCCATCCCCCCTTCCAGCCTATATTGAAGCAAATAAACTAGGTAGCTTTGTGGCTTCATTGACATAAAAAAAAAAAACTTCAAATTAAGTAATGTATTTGATAACTGAATGCATTTTTTTTTTAAGACTCATTTTTAAAGTAACTTGAGTGTAGATATTTATGTTCTAGTCCGGCCTGCCTGGTAATTTAGAACAAGAATCGAAACTCAAACCACCTTCTTTTCAGACCCTGCCCATCTTACTAGGCCAAACTGACCCACAAAGAAGAAGTAACTGCAAACAAACTTTTTTGGTCCAGTGAGAGCCCTAAGTATCCATAAGTCACACATGTGGCAGCATTCAGGTTGTAATGAGGGATGAGCTCAGTTTCTCCTCCCTTTCCCAAGAGTTGTGGAGGGAACTTTGGTTCTATCTACTCCTCTCCAAGTCCTCCAGCTACCACTGAATAAACAAGAGACTTGGAACAGTTGAGGGCAGAATCTCCAAAGCACCAGGAAGATATGGTAGTAGTAGAACACAACATGAAGATTTAAGATATTTTATTTCTTTTTAAGATCTTATGTATGTCTTTGAGAGAGAGAGAGAGAACACAAGCAAGGGGAGTGGCAGGCAGAGGGAGAAGCAGGCTCCCCACTGAGCAGGGAGCCCAGTGTAGGACTCGACCCCAGGACCTTATGATCATGACCTGAGCTAACAGCAGACGCTTAACGCATGAGCCACCCAGGCTCCCCAGAAGCGATAAGATAGTTTAGAAACTGGGATGTAGGGGCACCTGGGTGGCTCAGTGGGTTAAAGCCTCTGGCTTCGGCTCAGGTCATGATCCTGGAGTCCTGGGATCAGGCCCCGCATCAGGCTCTCTGCTCAGCAGGGAGGCTGCTTCTTCCTTTCTCTCTGCCTGCCTCTCTGCCTCCTTGTGATCTCTGTCTATCAAATAAATAAATAAATATTAAAAAAATACTGGGATGTAGACTTGTCTTCCCTTTTTCTGTGGAATTAAAATAACACTAGTGTATAGACCAAAGGATATAATATAAATGTACCCTTGGTAAGATGGCAGAGATACCACTTTTTTAACACTAATTTTGCCATATTCTTCAGTAGACTTCTAGCTAAATCCTGGTTCGTTCTAAGCCTTTCAGGGTTTCATGGTACCATGGACTGTTTTTTATCATTAATTACCCTCTAACCCTGTGCTGTCCAGTTCATTGGGCACTAGCCACGTGGCTATTGAGCACTAGATAGAAGGGTTACAGCCCTTGGATCGAGGTGTGCTGTAATTATAAAATATATACTGGATTGTGAAAACTTGGTGCTTTAAAGAAAATGTAAAATATCCCATTAATAACTTTTATATTGATTACATGTTGAAAGACACCATTATGGAGATAGTGGTTAAATAAAATATATTGGGGCGCCTGGGTGGCTCAGTGGGTTGAAGCCTCTGCCTTCAGCTCGGGTCATGGTCCCAGAGTCCTGGGATCGAGCCCCATATCGGGCTCTCTGTTCAGCAGGGAGCCTGCTTCCTCCTCTCTCTCTGTCCGCCTCTCTGCCTATTTGTGATCTCTGTCAAATAAATAAATAAAATCTTTAAAAAAAATAATAAAATAAATAAATAAAATATATTACTAGAATCAATTTTCTTTTTTTTTTTTAGCATGGCTACTAGAAAATTTTTAATTTCATTGGTAGCTCCAATTGTATTTCTGTTAGATAGTGCTGTCCTGGACTTGATTTAAAGGTTTTGTTCAGGGTTGCCGGGGTGGCTCAGTCAGTTAAGCATCCACCTCTTGATTTTGTCTCAAGTCACCGTCTCTGGGTCATGAGATCGAAGCCCACATTGGGCTCCTTGCTCAGCAGAGAGTCTGCTTGAGATTCTGTCCCTCCCCTTCCTGCCAGCCCAACCCGACATGCTTGCTCACACATGTGTGCTCTCTCTCTCTCTGTCAAATATATAAGTAAATCTTTAAGAAAAAAAATAAAGGTTTTGTTTCAGTTCTTTTCATGCCTCTCCCCGGAGTCCCACTACTCCTAATTTGCCTGCAGTTACCTCCTATGTGAATGAACACATGTAAAACTAACCCTGACCTTGTGATTTTTCCCATGCATTGCCTTTTCTCCTTATCATCACAGATGCAGTCTTGACAGCATGTGTTGGCCTGCTCCAATAGATTTTTTTGCCCCCAACTCCTATCGACTCCAAAGCCTTTCCTCTTTCTACTATGCCTCATGCAGAATGAAATTCCTATGTTCTTGGATTGTTTGAATATATCATTGTCCAGACTCTGATGTGATTCCCAGTTGCCTCTTGAATCATGGTGAAGGTCTCAGTGATGGGCTTTGATGTGTATACCTCCAGATAGAGGTATATAGAATCCAGATTCTGTATCTTATGAGGTCAAGGTTCCAGTAAAGCTGAAGTACACATTTCTCTCTGCTTATGGATGAGAGTCGTCTTACAGAGAGGGTAGCCTCTAAGAGCTTTGCCTGTGGAAATCAGATGTCCTAGGTTTGAATCATAGTTTTCCTGGGATGATAGTAATACCGTCTTCTGAGGGTTATTGGGGAGAAAGAGTATGCAAAGCGTGTAGCACAACATTTGATCCGTTTAAGTATCTCTTCGTTGTTAGCTATTATTGTTTACTCTCTTTGGAGCCATCATCTGGAATATTCTACATCTTTCTTAAGGCAGTTTTGTTTTTGCAGAGTGGATCCTGATTTGATCTCTGTAAAGAAGACTTTGAGAATGACGTAGGTGGATTATGGATAGGTTAGATCCTTGCACCAGGCCTTCCTACTTCGTGTCTTCCATCTTGTCTCTGCTGATTTGATTGCTAATACCTCTTCCTAGGACTTTTCAATTTAAACCTTGTCTTGTGATTACATAGGTTAATGTAATCTTCCAGGAAGGAAGGGCAGCACATTCTATTTCCTTGGGAAGTTCCAGGTGCTTATAGACATGCTCCCCACATTCCATGTGCTTTGCCAGTTTTAATGACCTATGGACCGCTTATCCTGGGTGGAATCCTGAGTGAGACTACCAGTAAGTGACATCTAAACCACCCTATTCCGAGTGCTCCCTTGTCTGTTTACAACCATCATACTGAAACGACAAACCGCTTGCAGCATCTTTGGTGTGAAAGGAGCCGTTGTACTCAGAGCCTGCATGAAGGATTTCACCTTTGGCAGAATCCATCCTCCATTTTGTCACCTGCTGTGCTACTTTGATTACTAGGCAGCCAGCTGTACGTTTTCTATACTTGGCTTCTTCTGCAGAGCCCTGGTTTCCTGTTTTTCTGACCACCCCTCTCCATACTCCTCCTCTTCAGCCTGAGCCCCAGCCAGCTGCCCACAGCCAGCATCTATCTGCCTTCCACTCTGGTTTTTTCCAGTGACATTTCCACCTGTCAATGTTGGTGGACCATTGTTTTATGTCACCTTGATCTATTCTCCTTGTAGAAAGGCAGTTATAAGAAAGAAGAGAGACAGTCAGGAGCTATTTGGCATCGTTATTGGGAGAGAGGCCCTCAAATGCCTTACTTAAAAACAGCAGGGGAAGTGCAACTCTTGATCTTGTGAACATGAGTTCGAGTCCCACTTTGGATTATAGAGGTTACTTAAAATCCTTAAAAACAAAATAGTGAGAGTAGCAAGGGTACACAGAATTGAAGATGGAAATTGGGGTGCCTAATGTTCAAATTATCACAGTGATTAGATATGTTGGCTTCCATTGTTTTCTCCTTGAACCATGGGATTGTTGACTAAATGAAAGCAGTGCAGTCAGATGTTTTCAAGAGAATTGAGTTCATTCAACAAAGTATTGTTCTTTTCCTGCTTTCCTCCCACTATTCCTTGGTCACTGGTACTAAAGAGAAAAAAAAAGAATAACTTTGAATTAGTTTTGGGTACAAATTCTTCCAGCTAATTTCCAGGCCCTTTATGCTTCATTGATGTCCTCTATCTCTTGGAGTTATAATCTTGTCTATTTAATAGATAAAGGGATTTGTCTAGCTAACTGGGTTTTTATCCCCCTCGAACCTAAAACTTACGTTGTAAAGGTACATTAACCACTACCTTTGAGTTTAGAAACTGGGAGAAGATGGCAAGTGATCCATTTAACTTTTAAAGATGAAAAAAATAATAATTGAATTAACGTATCTCTCTGGTTAGATTTAGTTAGGTTGAGTAATTTGAAATTTCCAAAGTTGTGCTCTGTGGGAATTTTAAATCCTAAAAGTAATATTGTAAGAATTTGAAATTCTAAAAATATTCATGACATGAGCCTGGCTTAGGTTTGTTGAGCAAATGGTTATTATAAATGTCACCTCCAATAGACATTAGCAATTGAACGCTAGGAAT